GTAGTTTTTAGTATATCTTTCAATCCATTATACAATTCTGCTCTGAGTTGTTTTTGATTTCATCTAATATAATTAAGTCAATTTTGTTTAATACAAATATAGTTATTAACAATATATTACTAAAACAAACAGCCAGATCTATGCAAAGAAAACAATTCTAAAGGACTATATTTATGAACTTGTAACTAAAATATATAGTACTACATCATTATCATATAGCAAGAATTAATTTCTTCTTCAATATCTTTAGAATTATCTAAATTCTTTAACTAGTCACTACTTGTCCATAAAATTCATTTTGTAAAATGATATCAGGATACTATCTAGACTTACTGTATGGAAAAAGTAACACATAATATAATAGACTATAAGGAGTGAAGCTATAAAATTTGCTATAAATCTTCTTTAAGCTTATATAGAATTATATCATAATTCAAAAGTTTAGACTCCTGACTAGTTCTGACTATAAGTACTGCGACTTCTGATATAGTTGTTATTATATACTGGTGTTCGTTATAAGCTTTAATGATTGATATTTTTAATTCTTATACTAGATTTCTAAGTAGCAGTTGTATAGTATATTAAAAAACATGCACATATAAATTTATTTCATGAAGCATTTGTTGAAGTTCTGCAAGTATTAAATTATTCAAATTTGGTAGATGTCAATATCAATGTAATAGTTGCTTATCTGTATCATATATATAGATTTGACAAAACTTTAGATTATTGTAATTTTCTAGTAAAAGCATACCAATTCGATAATATATCTCACTATGAATTCAAAAAGAGTATATACTACTTGATCTAGTTACTCAATCATTAATACTTGCACCCATAAAAGTAAAAGTGCGAGCAGAATTGTATATGTAAATTTTTTTTCAAAAATCTCAAGAAGTATATTGTTTTCAGTTAACAGAGCCTGCAAAATTGAAGAAATAGAAGCTAGTGACAATAAGCATACCTTTTCTTTTTAGCAATATGTATTAAATATAGCTTTGTATATTGTTCTAAAAATATACTCATTTTTCTAGTATAATATACCACAATACATATATTTAATGTTTATTTCATCAAGGTCATATAGTGCTACAATACTACTATTATAAAGTTTTATATAGACATTCTTAGAGGCTTAACAATTTATTTTTTGTTACTTTGCTCTTTGTTTTTCAGCATGCTTTGCAGTTTTAATTGATATTTGCTATAAATATATTTTTCAATTATATCTATATCATTGTACAATTTAATGATTAGTAAATGTTGATTTGTGTCAAGTATATGCTTTTCTTTAAAGCTATTTTTAACGTTCATATACACTTTCTAAATTACCAACTGCTAGATAAGTGGTGTCTTGTATCATTTTTTTAGTATAGCATTCTTTAGCTAAGCAGTTGCGATATTCTATTAGTATTTCAAAAGTTGAGCATAATAAATCAGTTAAAACATTTTTAGTTATCTCAAATAACATATTGGCAATTATTGCTCTAGCATTCAAATAGACTTCCTGTAACATATTTTTAGTATAGTGTTCTCTATCTAAAAGGTTAAAATGCTCTACTGGTAATTTGGAAGTTAAAAACAGTGAATTAGTTGGTAAATTTTCAGTTAACACAAATAATATATGGTCAGTTAGTTTAACTGTAGTCAAAACATATTCAAATAACATATTAGCATTTGCTTCTGCTTCTGAAAACTTAAAGAACATCTTATTTGATTTTATTTTAAACATCTCAAATATCAAAAAAAAACTGAGTAAGTGCTATATATATGCAAAATTCGTGTTAAGAATTGAATATTAATAAAAAAGACACATATACAGGAACCTATTTTATATGCTTAAGAAAACTAAGTTTTATATGCATATCAGGATCAAATATACTATAAGCAAATATGAAAACAATAATTTGTATAAAAAAATTCTATATAGGGTTTGTCAATTAATTCTTAAAGTAAACAATAATGAACTTATTGCATTAAACAAAATTTGATATTAGAGGTAAATAGAAATTTAAAGAGAAAAGTTTAGCTAAAATAAGAAAAGCAGTTAAATAAGCAAAATTTTGAGAAAAAATATTTTTTCTTAATTTGCTGATTATGAAAAACAAAATATAGCATAGAAATTCTTTATACTATTACTTGCCAACTAAAAAAAATCTAAGTATTACAATAAAAAATCAAAATAAAAAAATTTTAACTTATAGAAGATACTATATATAAACAATATGATTCAAGATTTCTTGGTTACAATAAATTTTCATTAGATTTTATTAATTTTAGTAAAAAAATTAAGCCTTGTGCAGCAAAAGTACTAAAGAGTTATTTAAATATACTTTTATTAAATATTAGTACAACTATATATATATATATATTAAACATGTGATTCGAATCTAAATAATCAGTTTTCTATTATTAAGCATATAGTTAAAATCAAATTATTCTATTTGCTATAAATTTACTTTAATTTTAGAATCAAACTTAGAGTATTTTAGAATTAGAAAGTGCAGAATTATCCTAAAATTTAGCAAGGATTTTTTTATATAAGAATATAAAAAGCAGTCGTTTAATGCTCTTTAAAAAAATATATAAACATTTCATAATAACTAATCTACAAAAAAATTTCTATTATTTTGTTTGTATTATCTCTTAAACTGTATTCCAGGCAAATTTGTCTGGAAAATTTAATTGTATTTAGTTTTTTTTTAAATAAAATAATAATTTATTAATGATATGGGGTATATATTTATTATAGAATATATTTTTGAAAATATATTTTATAACTTTTATTATAAATTTTTTTTAAAATTATTAATAAATTTTTGAGCAATAAAACTTTAAAGTTTTTGTTCAAAAATTTTTTCTATTAAAAA